GTTTCCTTTCCTGATATAATATGCAAGACTTAAAACAACTCTTTTATTATTTTTCTGTTTGTTTTTTTTTTTTCCAAAGTAAAACTATATTTATATTGCTAATGTAATTTATCTTTTTAAAATACAATTACATGATAAATCTGGTAAATGCTAACCAGGTCCTCCATGGAACTAAGCAGATTTCTCTCATCTAAGGATTTGGGTTTAAGAGTTTTTTTAGCCCATCAATTTCAGCACAATTTTACATGCTAAAAATAGTAATCAAATCTAACTAACAAACCTAAAAACTCCCAAATCTCTTTTCCACAGATGATGTAGCTATTTTAGGTAATACTTGATTTATATATGCATCACACAAGTTTGTATACAAATGGTGAGATAAACTTTCAGACAAACTTCTGCTCTTTGCTCAGTCTTGTCTAATTGGTTTTCTATCATTCCCAAATATTGTCATTTTATGATTATAACCCTTTTTTTTTTAAGTGGAACATTAAAGAAAATAAAGCCAGAGTGAAGAGTAACCAAAAGATATTTGATAACATATAGACCAAAGCTAGAAGGTTCAGTAAATGTGGAGCTGCTATGCATCAGGATTCCTGCAACAGTCACTGCAAAATACTTGACTTCTCAAGAGTTGCCTGTGTCTAATTATTATCCTGGAGAAGCTCCCAAGCACTATTTTTTTCCAGGTGACTCTTTCCTGAAAGGGCAGAGTTTCTGTCAATAGAAGACAGTAGGAGTTACCATCTGAAAAAGCTCCATCTGCCTAGATCTTAAAGGACTCACTTAGGACTCCCACAGAAAAAGGGTTCTTCTCTCTCTGTTTATAAAGATCTATTTTCATTTTAATGACTTGCCTTTATCAAAACATCTGGAAATGTTGTGCATGTAAGCTTCAGGGAAAAAAAGTTGGAAAAGACTATAATTTGGATTGCCAGCCCAAATCCTTCTCAGTCATCCCAAAACAACCTCCCTCAATGAAAAACCTCTTCAGAAATGAGAGGAAGGACTAAGGAGAAAGGAAAAGGTAGCATCTCTTCTTCAGTTTGTCTTGATTCAAGAGGAGAAGACTGTGGGTGCAGCAGGTTGCGGAAGGGAAATGCAGACAATTGTTAGTGCAACTGAAAAGTGCTTGGGACATCTGGGATCAGTTCAGATTTCCACTGCAGATTTCCTGGGTAAACAAGGGGAATCCACTTGATCTCCTTATGACTCAGTTTCTTGTCCATAGAATAAGGAAAATAGATGGTATTGTAAGACTAGATGTACTAAAGATTGCTCAGATCGTTAAAGGGGCTATAGAGAGGGGTTTTTCAATAATACTGCCACCCCTAGAGAGGTTCTGAGGCCATTTTAGCCAGCCCTACAGCATGGTACTCCCTTGTCCAATCTAGCGTACTACCTGTGAAAAGGGGAACAAAGTTACAGCAAACCAGATTTACCAGGTATGGCAAGTAAGTGGGTATGGTATGGTGTGGTGTGGTGTGGTGTGGTGTGGTGTGGTGTGGTGTGGTGTGGTGTGGTGTTGTGTGGTAAAAAAGTACTGATTTACCAGCGATTCTCAAATTTGTTTGGGGAGCGCAGCCTGTATACGTTTCCTCTTTACCAGCGATTCTCAAATTTTTTGGGGGAGCGCAGTCTGTATACGTTTCCTCACAGCATGCAGCCACCTATATAGCACACACGTAGCAACTGACGACAGACTTGTTTTTCACATATCCCTTAGATTTAGTCGGCGGCTCCCCTCCTCCCTCCCAGGGGCCGCAGCCCGCAGGAGTCCTGCGAGTCCCCCCGTCTCCAGGCTGCGCTAGCCCCGGCACGCCGAAAGGAAACTTTGCCTTTCTTCCCCGGTTCCTGCTGCCGGCTGCGTTTGGGCTCCTCCGGCAGCGGCGCCCTCGGCGGGAGCGGGGCTGAGAAGGGGCAGAGGAGGGGGCTGAGGAGGGGCAGGGGAGGGGGCTGAGGAGGGGCAGATGACAGGGCTGAGGAAGGGGCTGAGGAGGGGGCAGAGGAGCGGGGCTGAGGGGCGGGGGCGCGGGCAGCCGCCGCGCTCCGGCTCCCCCGAGCGCGGCGCAGCTTTGGCCGCGGGCTGCCCCCACTCTCCGGCCCGAGAGCCGCCTTTACGCCACCCAGGAGATGGGTTTCGCCTTCTCTCTCTTCTTTCCAGCACTTGGGTGGAGTCCGTTGAACTTTCCCGGGTCGTGCATACAGCACAACGCCCATACGCCCTAGCTGGGATATTTCTGAGGGGTGAGGGCAATACGGTGCTATTGATGCTCATCTCGCCATTCCAGAGCAGAATTGCTTCTTCGACCTCTAGTTATGTAGTAACAAGGGGAAAATTTCCTGAAATTAGACTACTGCAGGAACTCTGGTTTTAGTCACAGCTGTCATCCGAGAAACAAATTTCCAGGCATTTTTAATCTAATTCACTTAATTTTTATGTAACTGAATTAGAAAATGTGATTAAGCATCGCAGAATCTGCGGCATTGAGCCTGCCTAACCTTTAGCGAAACATGAAACAGAGAAACTTTTAGAAGTAAGAAGAAATGGTGAAATCGTCTGTATGGGTTTGGTACAATCGTTACTTACAGAGTAGGAGGATTAGAGGCCCAAAAGCTCAAGGGGGGGGAAAAAAAAAAAAAAAGAAACAAGAAAAGAGGATAATGACCTTTTCAGCTGAAATTCTTGCCGCGGTTCTTCGGCAGGTATTTCAGGGCAAGCACTGAAAGGAGACCGTGCGACACTGAAGCGGCACAGCCCTGCCCTGCCGACCCGCCCGCGGGCCCCACGCCCACTTTCCCCGTGTTTCTTCCCCTGCTGCCCACAGATCTCCCTGAGGCAGGGAAAATTCGAAGGAGAAAATCGAAGGCTTGAAACTATCTGATTCTCCCTTGCTGTGGCAGTGACTCCAGCCCCGAGGTTTGGGTTTGAGACACGTTAGAAGGAAGAGCTGACCCCCTTCCCGCTCACGGGGGTTTAACACGCGCTCCAGCCGCGCTCCCTGCGCACCCGCGCAGCGGCTGCATGCGCTGCGAGCAGCGGAAAGGTTACAGGCACCTGCGGTGCTTGGATGTGGGGGCCGATCCGTTTCCCACGAACACACGCACAGTGTAAACGAAAAAGCAAACCCTGGTAAACACCCCACCGCCTGCTAAAATCAAGCTAAAGCCCGTAGAAAGATTTTAAGACCACCTCCCTGCAGCGAAGCCCCTGCGTGCTCAGGCCCTGCGGCTTGTACGAGCGGCGGCCCGTCTGACGGCGCGCCCCGGGCGGGAACCCCCGGTGGGTACGGGCGTGTGCCGGGAACAGGGACGGACCGGCTCAGCCTGAAAACACCGGTGAAGAGCTAGGGAAAGGAGCAAACCCGGGGCCGAGGAGGGGGCTCCGCAGGGAAGCCCTCGGGGCGGGGGCGAAGGGCCCCGAGGGGTGCAGCCACCTCCCCTCCCGGCTGCCCCGGGCGCGGGCAGGGGTGCGCGGTGCGGCGTGGCCCCGCAGCCCCGCCCGCCGCCTGCTCTCCCGCTTGGCCAGGCGAAATCACGCTGCCGACGGGGCCCTGCTCCCCGCAAAACTAACTCATTAATATAAATCAAATAATGGCGGGGGGGTGGGGGGAAGAGGTAGGGTGCGCGGCTGCTCATGAGTTAAATATAAGTCTCTGACTGTCCTGAACAAAGCGACCGTCCCCTTGGGAAGGGTGACGTCTCCCCAGTAACGTGATCGCTTCTTCGGAAGCAGAAACGTGTAAACGCTATAAAACGCGGAGGCGCGGCGAGCAGCTCAGAGCGTGCGGCGAGTCGGAGCTCTCCTCTTCTTCCTCCTTCTCCTCC